ACTCACAAGTTGGAAGCTGGAATTTTGGTGAAGTCCCTTTGCCCATTTCCACGAAAAAACAAACCAAACCAAACCAAATATAGAAAACATTCACAATACCAAAAAACCAAATATAGCAATCATTCACAATACCAAAAACCAAATAAACAAAGCATTCACCAAACCAAAAACCAAACCAAAACAAATATTAAAACCATTCACCAAACCAAACCAAAAACCAAATATAAAAAGCATTCACCAAACCAAAAACCAAATATAAAAACCAAAAATAATAAGCATTCACCGAACCAAATAAAAAACGGTTGTCCATCATCCTGAGAAAGAAAAACATAACTGTTGTCCATCATCTTGAAAACTAAAACGAAAAATCAGGTTGTTTTGGGCTCGTTGACTGGGTTTCCTTGTGCTCTTCTCTTTCCTTCTTCCTCTTTTCATGGGTTGTCTTGTACTCTTCCACTGCAGCTTCAACTTGAGGTGCAACTCTTCTTGCTTCCGTGAGCACCATATGCCTTATGTAGTTCATGGGCTCTCGAACAAGGTACAAAGCGATCTGCATCCTCCTCACTTGAGTGCATGGCTATCAACATCAACAAACATGGTGCTTACCGCATGATTCAAAAATAACAATCAATTGTGGTTTTCTAATTTTGCGAATTAGAATTGTCTTTACCCAAATATAAGAGGAGTCCCAGCTCGCGCCAAACATCCACATGCATACCCAGACTCCACTGTCAGACCTACATAAAATAAAAGCATTGCGTGATAAGAACCAAGTTGATAAGACGTCGTTTAATATCAAAAAAAATGGGCATACTTACCGATTAAGTTGTTCTTGATCCTTTGAAGGAGTTGGGTACGCAAACTCCGCAATCCTTGGTGGCGACAATCCTTGTTCACGACAGAGAATCTTCCACAAGGCTTGCATAAAGCTCATCTGTACAAATTAAGAAACGTTTGTACTTAGAAAAAGTTATTTACATTTTTTTGCGTTATAACGGCACAATGTCACAAATTTACCATTGTTTGAACAGATTGTAGTCGAAAGGAATTGCGGACTTCATTTGGTTGTGGATCCAAGATATGGACTTCTTCCTTGTCCAACTTGATGACAGCCAAGTACCAATGGGCATTATCTCTCATCGGAACACACACCTACATATGCGGAAATTGTCAACACGTATTAAAAAAATAAACTGCAAACCATGTAATACTTATTAAGACGAACAGTTTACCTTGTTCACCATATTGGTTCGACTAAGGAATTTTGATTGGTATAGGTCTAATGCCATCTTGGGTGTTATTCCACATGAAATCACTAGTTCCTGCCCATGTGGTAGTTGCACAATTGAAATTTTGTCAACACAATATGATTCACGTTAAAAAAACATGTGTTGTAATTTTTTTGGTGAGAGGAAATTGTCATTAAGTATAATCGGACCACAACCTGTAGTTCAGCAGGCAGATAGCACACTCCTTTTCCGTCCTTGGAATTTGTCCACAACTCTTCTAGAGTCAAGTGGCAGGCCATCGCTGTTATAACCTAATATAACATGGACAAAAAACACTTCATGATACTATCGAGTTGTTATAAAATAATTCTACGTAGAAAGCATTGATAGTGGACAAACAAAACAAAATTTTGGAGTTCCGTTGATTACATCAGCATCTACGAACGAGCGAGGGCTTAAGGACCACAATGACTTCCTCGTACAGGAGTTGTTGGAGGTTTTGACCAATACTTCGTCAGGTGGCAGATGGGCTAAGAATATATAGTGAGCAAGCTGGATTTGCTCATCATCGTATTCCATAGCGGTAGGTAGCTTAAACTTCAAAACAACCTGGAATAGGGGCCACAAATAAACACGAGTTGAAATGCATTCGTTATGACGGAATAACGGCAATGAACACTTCAATGGCAACACCTTTATTACCTTGTCAACCGAAGGTAGACAAATACTTTTTCCATTTGGCTTCTTTGGTGTGACCTCAGAGTCAGATTCATCGTCCGAAATAAAAACGATGACTGAAGCAGGAGTGGGTGGAGTGCTGACACCTTTGGGTATCCTTGGTTTCTTTGTTGGAGTCAAAAATTCGGCTGTCTCCTACAATGACAGTGAACCTGCGATTAATAAATTAACTAGAATGAATTTCAATGGTAAAAAGAGCTATTATACATACCACAAGCTTGGACGAAGAGCGAGTAAGTCTCCTATTTTCCATGTTGTGCCTCTGATCTAAGCTTTACTCTGTACTCAAAATCGCGGCAAAGAAGGATATGGAACCACTGCTCTACCGATGAAGGTTATATATATATACAAGGTTAGGATAAATTTGTGGCGCCATATTTTTCCCGCGGAAAAATAGTTAGGGTTTAGTCTAAGGTACATGAACTTGGGATAAACATGGGTAGTTATTAAACCTAAAAGTAAAAGATACTTTTTTCGATTGAATAAAGAATTGAGTGCTATTAGTAATATTCGCTCATATTAATATTTGATCCTTCCCCATACCACGTAGTAGACACCTAGAGTCAGCTGGCGTTTGGCTTTACTATGAAAGGTTTTTCATTTTAAATATTTTTCGTTATTTGTGAAAATGGTAAAGAAATCACTAAGATAAAGAACAGAAAGTTCAACTCGTTCCTACCAAAAATATAAGATATCACAAATCGTGTTAGTAATGGGGATAATTATTAAGTGGCCCATTGAATCATTAATTCGGCCATCATTCCCAGTAGGGTTTTATAATCTACGTCCTTGGTTCCCAAAATTTCCAGCCGTGACAATGACGTAGGAGGCAGACTCACCATTGACGTCGGAGGGAGTCCTAGTATTGACGTCGGAGGGAGTCCAAGAAAACGCTGGTGCCGGAACCAGTCACACCACCCAGGAAGATAATGTCGCCAATCTCATATTGCTACAACCTGAAGATATTAAAAAAATGAAGTTCGATGATACAGAAGAAGCCTATGATTTCTACATGGACTACGGGTTAGTCAAAGGCTTCAACATCAGAAAATCAGACATTGGTCGTGATAAGAACAAAGTTATGATATGGCGTGACTATGTATGCTCTGGTGAGGGAAAGAGGCGCATGAAGAGCACAGAACGAAAGAGAGAAGCAAGAGGGGGAGAACCAGATTTAACTGCAGAGCCAAGATGCGTGTTAAACAACACAATGTCGATGGAAGTGGTATGTGCACCAGTTTGATGATGTACACACACATGAAACGATCCCCAGAGAATATAGACACTACATGAAAGGGAAACGTCGTATGAGTGATGCAGTGAAAGCAGCGATAAATTTTAGAAGAGCTGCAGGTATGAAAACTTCTCAAATTGTGAATCTGGCCGTATCAGAAGCAGGAGGCTACGACAATTTGGGGTACACGAGGAAGGATGCATATAATTATGTGGACCAAAGAGAGGAAAGAACAAATCAGTGAAGGTGATGCCGCAACAGCCCTAGCCTACCTGCAAGCTAAATGCAGCGACGGACGAGCATTTTCGTTATTGAACTAAAGAAGGATGACGACGACCGGCTTATTAACATTTTCTGGGCCGATAGTATTTCTGTTGCTGATTATGCATGCTTTGGAGAATTACTGTCATTCGATGCTACTTACAAAAGGAACATTTACCAGATGCCTCTCGTGATTTTTTCAGGTACTTTTCCTTCACACATAGAATTATCCGAGCATGCTAAAATAAACCCTAGAAGTTTGCATAATCTAACTTTGTTTGAAACTTTTTTAAGGTGTCAACCACCATTCGCAAACTTGCGTATTTGCATGTGCTTTCTTGGCTAACGAGAGAGAGGACAATTATATTTGGGTGTTGGGAGCTTTGAAGAGAAGGCTAGGCGGTGTAGATCCCAAGACTGTTATTACAGATGGGGATAGAGCAATGCGTAATGCTATTCAGAAAGTATTTCCCGATGCAACACATCGTCTATGTTCCTGGCATATAGACAAGACTATAACCAGAAATGTGAAGAATCATCCTACTTTTTTGCCCCAATGGAAGCATTTTGTGTCAGCTGACTGGGAACCTTCAGAATTCGAAGAAAAGTGGAAAACAGTGGTTGAGGAATGCTCCCTTCAGCACAACAATTGGGTCTCCAATTTATTTGACCAAAGACATGAATGGGGGTATGCATATTTGCGTTCGAACTTCTTTGCAGGCTTGAGTACAACATCAAGATGTGAAGGACTGAACTCTCAACTTGCCAATTATATCGAGAAGGATAAAAATCTCCTTGAGTTCTTTATTCACTTTGATCGTTGGACTAGGGATATGAGGGAGAATGAGCGTCATGCTGATTTTGAATCCATTCATCGAGAACGAACCATCACAAGCAATGTCTTAGTCTCACTTCAGAAGAGTGGAGCGGCGGTTTTCACAAAGAACGCATTCTTCTTATTCAGAGACGAGGTTGAAAAGTCGGCATGTTGCATAAGGTTGGAGACAGAGCGATCGGAAATTGAGCATGTGTACAAGGTCAAGGTGTCTGGCATGGCTAAGGTTTTTCAAGTCACGTACGCAGTTGAACCCTTTGCAATGGAATGTAGTTGTAATCACTACAATTATATGGGAATACCATGTCGTCATATGATTTTTGTACTGAAAGAAGAGAGCATACTGGAACTTCCTGAAGGCCTAGTACGTCGAAGATGGTCAAAGAAGCCGAAGACACTAGAGAGCTTGGAGGAACCGGGCAGACTAGATGAATCGCAACTTTTCGCATTGAGGTTTGCCATGACTATCACTTTTAATTTTTTTTTTTTAGTATTGGTTCGAAGCTAGGTGAACATTAATTTTACTCACTTTGTATAAAATCTTGTGTCAATCAGGTATGGTACTATTCAACAACACAGCTTACAACTAATGTTAAAAGGGGCAAAATCTAGTGAGTGCTTCAAGATTGCTCGTGAGGGAATTCAATCATTATGTGAAAAGTTGGACATGGTGGACACTGGCAACGTGGACATACCCGGCATTAATAGGCCGAAGGCGAATGAAATTTTGTTGGATCCATTACAAGTCAAAGCTAAAGGTTCGGGGGCTAAAAAATCTAAAAGGAAGAAAGGAGAACCACGACAGTGTAGCAATTGCGGTGAATTTGGCCACTATAGGACCCGATGCCCACATCCTGTTGGCTATGTGAAGCCAACCTCAAACGGTGATGCCCCGAATGATGGTGTTTCGGAAGAAGGTGGCGGTGGCGATGACACCGATGTTGATCCTCCCAGCACTCAAGATCAGTCGGAAACAGTACAGAAGAGAAGGCAAAAGCATTGCAGTAAGTGCGGTTCTACCAATCATAATGCAAGAACGTGTACTGGGTCTGGGCCATCCGATGATGAAAATGACGATGATGAAAATGACGATGACGACGATTATGAGCAACCTAGGGTAAGAATAAGATATAATTGTTCGTGTCTACACAATGCAGTTGCACCCAATAATTTTGTACGTCTAAAATCGTCGTTATCGATTTTGCAGAAGAGGCCTGTTACAAGAAGTAGCAAACTAAGGATTGTTGAAAACTTGGAGTGAAGATGGACGTCCTTATCCTATTCGGATTAGGACTAATGGACTATGTGAAGACTGCCAGTATCAGCTTGAAGCGGCGTCGTTTGATTTATAAGAAGACTGTTGCCGTCTGCGGTGTCGTTTTACTTGTGTGTCGTTTTATTTATGTGTCTCTTTGGTCTATAAGAAGACTACTGCCTGCTACGGTGTCGTTTTATTTAGTTCGGATGGATTTTATTGAAGTCGATATGGAGGTTGCTCCCTAAATAAATCATGTGCAACATTTCAGTTGAATTATTTTTCTCACTCGTTTTTTTTATTGAATTATTAGATCGGATTTTGGCTACTAAAATTATGAAATGTAATTTGGGCGTGAAATGACAAGAGCATTCGCCGACAGAGGACTTCTGAAAATGGAGGCAGTAATCAAGAAATAAACTACAATATTTTTATTGAGTGAAAGATCCCTCACCGATATATTATTAAGATCTCAAACACTAAAAGTACAAATCTTGAAAAAGAAAACAATGTACTTTCCCTCCTCCAACTTTTATACTATACATATGGCAACTTTCCCCTCTTGTATATATTTTGGGAGCATGATCAACAAGTACACGTAAATGTAGCCAGAAGAACCATCATATGACGTAGGGTTCCACAACACCTATTATGGAATCGCAACAACATATGATGATTCTTTGGGCTATATTCAGACGGCGACTTATTGTCATTGCTCCCCTCCCTGCCTCTAACAAAGACCCTGCATGGAGAGAAAAGGAGAAACAATACAACGAAGGATTTAGTTTAACAGTCATGATCTAACAATGACATAATAAAGGAACTGAGATCTAAAATAATACGCAGTCTCATCATTACCACTGCACCCGAAAATAAAGCATGGACAGGAGGACGAAGAGGCGGATGGGGTTGATTTTGGGGTTGAGAAGATGGGAGAAAGGGGTTGATTTTCGGGGTAGAGAAGATGGGAGAAAGGGGTCTTTTCAGGGATTGAGAGGAGGAACGGACAACAGCAGGAGATGAGTGCCTCTTGGGTTTCGGAGCATGGTCTCTCCCTCTCTGATTAAAGAATTTATAAATGAGCTCATAAATTTACTTTGCCTTTCCAGCCCTTCCCATTTACTGAAAATCACACTCCCTACCGCTGCCTCGGCCTTGGTAACGTCAGCACTGGTTAGGGGCAAATGCGACTTTCCGAAAACGGCGATATCTGATTGGGTGACACGCCGCGGTTAGGATTGAAGCTCTCTCACCATCGGATTAAACGAAAATTTAGGAATTGACGGCGGGAGATGGGGATGTGCTTTTAGACTGGCTTTGTAGATTAACTAACTTTTTCGTTTACCAAAATTAATCTACAGATTTGGTACATGTACTTGTAACCCTAAACCCTAAACCCTAAACCCTAAACCAAACCCTAAACCCTAAACCAAACCCTAATACACGAACCAATCAATACCATATACTCTACAACAATAACACCTTAGAGCAACTCCATCCCATTGCTAAACCAACCTTTAGCAATTGGCAAAGTCTAGGTGGCAACTCAATTGGCAATTGCAAGGGATGGAGAGGCAATTGCTTATTTAGAAATTACAAAGAAAACTTAGGGATGTAGGTGGTTTGCAATTCTTTTAACTGAAATTGCTAAATATGACGATGTGGCTGTAGGGACCACGTTTAGAAATTGCTAGGGATGGAGATGGTCTTACCCGAACCAATCCAACCCATTGCTTATTTAGTGGAATCCTAGGTGGCACCATTATTTAGCAAGATTGCAATGCCACCTAGGAAATTTTTTCTAAACTAGCAAGATTGCTAAATTAGGAATTCTTCTTGCAATGCCAAACCCTAATACACGAACCAATCAATAACATATACACTAAACCATCAACACCTTGCTTATTTAGACCATCTCCAATGGTGCAATTCTTGAGAATTGCAAGCTGATGTGGCAAGGGAGTGAAAGTGGGAATTGGGACCATATATTTGCTCGGTGTTGGAAACTTGAACTGAAACTGGAAGTCCTCCTATGCCGAGTCGTTTGGTATATAAGAAGACTGTTGGCTCTTGCGGTGTCGTTTAATTTATGCACTCATTAATGGTCACTTGATGGGAATTTTTAAGCACTTGGATGTGGAAATGTAATGCAGTAATTGGACCCAATTACCACATAATGCAGTAATTGGGTTAAAAACCCACGTTTGGGAGAGCCAAAATAGTATGGAAATTGGACCATGGAAATTGGCTTCAATTACCACATTCATGGTAATTGAGAATACTACACCTCCCCCTAGTAATTTGACATTACCACGTTTTCTTACTTCTTTTTCCGAATTCCATACCATCAATTCTCACAAAACTAAACCTTATCCAAACGTGAGTTTTTTTTTCAATTTCCACAAGTCAATTCCTTGGTTTTGTAAAACATGGAAATTCAGACAAATTTCAACGTTTTAAAATTTCCACATCCAAACGACCCTATAAATCATGTGCAACATTTCAGTTGAATAATCTTGAGAACTAGTTTTTTTTATTCAATTATTACATCATATTTTTGCACTAATTTTGAGCACTCATTAAATGGGTAGAGCATGTGGCGACAGAGGAGCAGAGTTCGAAATCCGGCAAAAAATCCGGTTGGGCCAATCGTAAAGACTTCTAAAAATGGAGTCAGTAGTAAACAAATAAAGTACAGAATTTTTATTGGGAGTGTAGGATCCCCTGCAGATTTTAGAAGATCTCAAACGCTAATAGTACAAAGTACAGTATTTTTATTGGGAGTGTAGGATCCCCTGCAGATTTAGAAGATCTCAAACGCTAATAGTACAAAGTACAGTATTTTTATTGGGAGTGGAGGATCCCTCCCGTATTTAGAAGATCTCAAACACTTTTGGAAGCCGCCATGGAAGCGAAGAGAGAAGCAGAAGAAAAAATAACAAAACAGTATACAAATATAAACAAATGTTACATAGAGTCCAACAAAAACAAAAAGCTGTACTTTCCCTCCCTATTTTATCCTATTATACATATGGCAACTTTCCTATCTTGTATACAATTTGGGAGCATGATCAACAAGTACGCGTCAATATGGCGCAAAAGAAACACCACATGACGTAGGGTTCCACAACACCTATTATGGAATCGCAACAACATGTGATGATTCTTTTGGCTATATTCAGACGGCGACTTATTGTCATTGCTCCCCTCCCTGCCTCTAACAAAGACCCTGCATGGAGAGAAAAGGAGAAACAATACAACGAAGGATTTAGTTTAACAGTCATGATCTAACAATGACATAATTAAAGGAAATGAGATCTAAAATAATACGCAGTCTCATCATTACCACTGCACCCGAAAATAAAGCATGGGATAGGAGGACGAAGAGGCGGATGGGGTTGATTTTCGGAGTTTCATATTGAGAAGATGGAAGAAAGGGTTCTTTTCAGGGATCGGAGCACGGTCTCTCCTTCACTGATTAACGAATTTATAGATTGACTCGTAATTACTTTTACTTTCCCTCCCTTCACATTTACTGAAAATTACAGTCCCTACCACTGCCTCGGCCTTGGTAACGCCAGCATTGGTTATGGGCAAAAGCGACTTTCCGAATTCGGCAATATCTGATTGGGTGACACGCCGCGGTTAGGATTGAAGCTCTTTCACCATCGGATTAAACGAAAATTTAGGAATTGACGGCGGGAGATGGGGATGTGCCTTTAGACTGGCTTTGTAGATTAACTAACTTTTTCGTTTACCAAAATTAATCTACAGATTTGGTACATGTACTTGTAACCCTAAACCCTAAACCCTAAACCAAACCCTAAACCCTAAACCAAACCCTAATACACGAACCAATCAATACCATATACTCTACAACAATAACAACACCTTATAGGCTTATACCGTAACCAATCAATAACATATATACTTTAAACCATCAACACCTTGCTCCTCCCTTATACCATAAACTTCAAGACCTTATACTGTATACCAACAACACCTTCTTCTATCTCCATCCCCAACTTTCATTTTATAATAAGTGTTTCCTTTGAAATATAAAATGGAACCCACTCTTGGCAATTACTAGCATAATTTAGGGATGTAGATGAATAGAATTGTTAAGTGATGAATTGCTAAAATTGATGATGTGGCGGTAGGGACCTCGTTTTAGAAATTGTTGTTCAATTTTAGGGATGAAGATGATCAATACACTAATCCAATACCATATACTCTAAACCATCAACACCTTATACAATATCGTATTTTAGGGATGGAGATGATCAATACACTAACCCAATACCATGTACTCTAAACCATCAACACCTTATACAATATCGTATACCTATACGCTGATAAATTAAAATTATAACTTGCTTTTCAAAACATAAATTAAAAATTGATACTCACTAAGTATCGAACCACAAACCTCTACTTTATTGACTAAGCAAATAAGAGACAATTAACCAATTAAGCTACATCACATTGATGACCATCTTGCATAATTTCGCTTTCTTATTAAGTGAAGGGTTAAAATGAACGATAAATATATCACAGGGGATTGTTTTCAACTTCGGCGGGGACTGAGAGAGTGGAAAAGGGGTAATTATTCTACCAAAAAAGAAAAGAAAAGGGGGAATTAATGAAGAGTTAAATTGGACGGATTGTCTTTACCACGCCACTACAAAATCATTCGGAGCAAAAACACGCAGGTTCAAATCAAACAATAAATGATCAGCATTATAAGCAGATATAAAGAATTATGTCTAAGTACTGATAAATGTGTCACGCTACAATAATTATGTCTAAGTTTTTTTAGTAATAAGGCATGATCAGCATTTATAAGCAGATATAAAGAAAATATAAAATCGAGAAAAATAAGACCAACACCTACCCTCACCCTTTAACCAATCGATACCATATGCTCTAAACCATCAACACCTTATAACCTACCCATATACCATATACTCTATACCATCAACAACCTAATACCCTAAGCAGTCAGTACCCATTTCCTTTAACATCAACACCTTATACAACAATCGTATACCTATACGCTGATAAAATTTTACATTTTGAAAATACTTGCCCAACTAAAGTACA